TCTATAAGTGTAATATCTGGTCTATTATTGTGGATAGTTTTGTCTGTGAGTAGTGTCCTGTCCCAATATAATTTGTGTGTGTTGTTTTCAAGTATTATCTGTGGCGTGTATTTGTAATATGGTGTCTTATCTGTTATGAGATTGTGTTTAAGTGCTAATTTTTGATGTATGATTTTAGCTACCTGATCGTGTCGATGTTTGTATTCAGTTTGTGCGAGTCGTGTGCATGCCGATATTATATGTTGGATTGTTTCTGATGTTTGTGAACAGAGTCGACAAGAATCGTTTGTCACTGTTTTGTCTTTATGTATGTGTTTTTTTATAGTTGCGTGTATTAATGACCTGGTCTTGTATTGCTAACATGAAACCCTCAGTCTCCGGGAAGATATCACATTCAGACAACCAAGTGTGCGTTGCGATAGAATCAACACAATCCTGACTAACCTCTTGTGGAAATCGTCCATGTAACGGCTTTTGGTTCCATGTCTGTATGTTATTTGTGATGTATGTAAGTTTGGATGGAGGTGGGAGTATATTAGTTTCGTGTAGGTTAAGTGGTGTGTAAGATTTGTCTGCATATGTTACTGTTTTGTGTAGAACTGAAGTATCTGTTTTGTTATAAAAGTATTGTCGCAACTTGTGTATTTGTGTTTGGTGCAATATTTTTATATCTGTAAGTCCTCTACCTCCTTCCGAACGAGGAAGGTAAAGTCGTATAGTAGAGGAGTGAGGGTGATGTATATGGTGTTTTGTTAATAGTGTACGTGTGTTTCTCTGTATTTGTTCTAAATCTGTATTTGCCCAACGTATAATCCCAAAAGAGTATGTAAGCACTGGTGTGGCATAAGTGTTAATAGCTTTGATTGTATTTCTACCGTGTAATTTTGTTTTAAGTATACTGCGTACTCTTTGCAGGTATTGTGTGATAAGTGTTTGTTTTATACTCGTATGTTTAATGTGTGTGTTTTGCTGAAAACCAAGATACTTATAAGTTTCATTCTCGTCCATGGAATTTATTAAATTACCCTGTTTTAGCTCATAATCTAAAAGTTGTCTTTTTCCAGCTGTGATGTGTTGTGTTTTACATTTATCGATTCCAAAGTCCATTTGTATGTCACGTGAGAATGTTTCGGTGATGTGCAGAAGGTGATTAAGTTTTATGCTTGTGGAAGAGTATAATTTAAGATCGTCCATGTAAAACAGGTGTGTAATGTTGTGATGTATTTCGTGGTTGTGTTTAATATTGTACCCAAAGTTAGTAGTGTTGAACAAATATGAAAGTGGATTAAGAGCAAGACAAAACCAGAGCGGACTTAAAGAATCGCCTTGAAAAATTCCTCTTTTAATTTGTATTGGGTCGGTAATAAGTTTTGTGTCGTTTAGTGTAAGCGTTAACGTAGTGTTCCAACATGACATTATGTAATTGAGGAATTGTGTAATATTGTTGCTGACTTTGTATATTGAGAGTACTTGTTGTAACCAAGAGTGTGGTACTGAATCGAATGCTTTTTTGTAATCAATGTATGCAGTGTGTATTTTTCGTTTGTTATGTCTGGATTGTTCAAGTATAACAGAGTCTATAATGAGTTGCTCTTTACAGCCTCTGGAATACTTGGTACACCCTTTTTGTTCTTCGTATAGAATCTTGTTATCAGTACAGTGTTGGTATATTTTGTTTGTAATGCATGATGTAAGTATTTTGTATATTGTAGGAAGGCATGTAATTGGTCTATATTTAGATGGGTCTTGCGTATTGTTGTCTTTTGGGAGCATGTAAGTGATACCTTGTGTAAAGAATGCAGGAGTGCGATCTGGTGAATTAAGAAGTTCAGTAAATTGTTGTGCAAGGTAAGAGTGAGTGTAGGTAAAAGATTTCCACCAAAAGTTGTGAATGTTATCAATGCCTGGACTTTTCCAGTTATGTAAGTGATTAATAGTTTGAATGATGTCTGTTGTAGTGATGTTTGTGTTATTCATAGGAGTAATGTATTCAGTGCGTGTGGTTTCTGTGGTAATCCACGGGGCGTGTGGATTGTGTTTAATGTCTTTGGTCCATAAGTCAGACCAGTATTGCTGGAGTGAGTGTAGAGATGGTGGAATGAGTTTTTCATTAGTGCTGTTTTGTGTTAGTGATCTGTAAAATAGTTTTTCGTTATGTTTAAATTGTGTGTTATGGCGCTTTCTATCTGCAGTTTCCCTATAGCGTTTTAGACGGTTTGTGTATATTGATAGTTTTTGTGTCAGTGTTCTATGTTCGTTATAGTTTGTATTTTGTTCTCGTGTGGTGTGATTGTTTAGTTTTGTAGTTATGTGTTGTACTTGTCGTGTTAGTTTTGAAGAACGAGTTCCTTGTATGTATTGTGTAATCCGACCTAAGTCACGTCTGATATCATCGATGCGATTTATCAGGCGTTTTTCCCAGGCCGGGAGTGAGCGTTTTTTTGTTGTGTGCTGTTGTTTGTTTATTGCGATTCTTGCACCGTTACATCTAGAAACTGCAACCGCACCGCAATACACAACAAAGTGTAGTCGATGAAAGCTTGTGTTATTGTTAATGTAATTTGGTAAAATTTGGTCATTTAATGTTTGTGAAAGTGTGCGTAATTTTGTAGTGTGACTTTGTTTAGGTATTCGTGGTCTTTGTGTTGGGTCAGTGTTTGAGAATTCTAACAATGCATTGTCGAATTCTTTTTGAAGGGATGTGAGTGTTTGGTTCGTGTAATTATTTGTATCTATCGATGGCTGCAGTCTCGCAAATGTCTGTATTTCAGAGTTGTTTAGAACGGATATATTATTATTATTATTATTATTATTATTATTATTACATAATTCGTAACATCTTATGTACATCTTTAAGTAAAGAGTGTGAGTGAGTACATTTTCAACTCTAAATAGTAAACACAAACATTTTCTCAGTGTAGGTGCGCTGAAAATATTTTCTAATTACGTCTTGCACATCAAACGTTAACATAAATTACCGACGTTGCCTTTAGTTAATTATGTCCCGTAACACAATGATTCAAAGTATAAATCTTAATTGACGCAAAATGGCCGAGTTACACGCAAACGTTGGACAGAAACTGCGAAACGAGATAAGCGTGTAAGGTTCCCGTTCCCCCCACACCAAATACTTCAAAATTGAAGGTGGACTATCTAAATAATTAACGAACGCTTTTGAAAAGGTAAATAAGCTACTTATTTGCGATCATACCTACCTATACATACACAAACAATTTAAGTTGAGTACGCTGGTATCTTTTTAACAAAGCGAAGTAATTAATTTGGGAAAGTAGGGGGCGAGCGAATTTAAAACCGTCCGCGCCGAGTTTTAATATTAAATCAATAATCACTATAAATATTTGATAAATTCGAAATAAGCAATGTTTACACAGTTTTAATTCGCGGGAAACAGAGCAGATTATACGATTAAATATACAATTTCACTGAATTAAACATGAGATTTTAATTAATATATCCTCAACGTTGCGCTAATGTAATTACATCTAACCGAAATTAAAGTTTGGAGAACCTGTAATTTCTGCAAAAAGTGGTTGCTCTGCTTTACTGATGAAATGAGAAACGTAATTAAATTTTATCTTCATAAATTTTTAGTAAATTTTGTATACGCTTTAAATATAAATTTGAGTTTCCATTAAATATACATCGTGCGCCTTCTACTCTATGTGTACCTACCTCTCCCTTAATTTCATTTCTGGAAAGAATTTTTTTAGGAAATTTATCTTTTGCCTTTCCCAAAGTAAATTCATTTTTTATAAACCATGCGTCGTGTTATAAAATTATGCAACTGCGTCATTCGGTAGATTTACGTTTTAACCAAATGGATGGCGTTAGCTGTTTAGGTGGAAAGTGTGGGGTTAGGGGGCGGTTGGATGACACTTATAAAGTTTTTCGTGTAAACTTTCAGCTATATGCTTGTAGGAATTTTTACAGCACTTTAACATTTCAATTTAGAATGGAGGTACATTCACATGCTGTTTATACAGAGAATTAAATAGATAAAAACAAAATAATGTTACAAATATGTACCTACAATGTAATACAATTGTTGGGGTAAACCAAACTTTGCTTCACATATACCTACTTGAAAATCACCATACAATAGAGTTAAGCAAGTAAATAGTAAAATAGATTCTTATTAAGGTTTATAGAAAAACCAGCTAAAACAAAAGAATTATAATGAGGTCTCCACAAATGGATAACGCATCACACAAAATACATCCCCATAGATACTTAAAATTATAACTTACGTTACTCACAAACCTTAGTAACGTTACTATATAATTGAAATTCCCCAGTTTAACAAACCCCCAATCAACAATGATCGATTAACAAACTAATTACTGGATCATAACTTTCCACAAATAAATTTATTTATTTATTTATTTATTTATTTATTTATTTATTTATTTATTTATTTATTTATTTATTTATTTATTTATTTATGTATTTATTTATTTATTTATTTATTTATTTATTTATTTATTTATTTATTTATTTATTTATTTATTTATTTATTTATTTATTTATTTATTTATTTATATTTATTTATTATCCCTCTCTTGTTCTGGGCCCTCAACAGGCTTGTCACTCGCATAATGCTTTTTAGAGGTGCATCTGCAGAAGTTCTTATGTTGTTCTATACTACTCCGGTATTTACCTTACGAATTAACTAATACCTACGCTAAAGTGTTACGGAAGTGGTTCCTCTATTGGGGATCGATCCTTGATATATAATCTCGTTTATGGCCCGTTGAGTCATTTCACAGCAAATGGCCGCTCGTTATCAGCAGGTAGAAGACATGTCAAACGCTTCGGCACTCGTAGGCAAATGATGTGCTTAATCGAAGGTTACCCAAATTCATCTGTCGAACTAAAAATCGTATGTACGGTGACGTATCTGAAATTATACTGGTCCTGACCAGAACTAAAAATTCGAGCCCGAACTTGAACTAAAATTAAAACCCTAAAAGAAATCAAAGGTAACCCTCCTTCGTTGATGTCCTAAAAGTGTACCGGGTGACCCAATAAGACTGTTCCTCGGCCATATCTCGGGAACCGTTCGTCGCATGACTTGGGGTAAAAAAATTAATGGGTAAATCGGTTATGAAGAATCGCTGGAAAATATTTTCAAGTTCTAAAAATGACCACCAGAGGGCGTAACTGCGATCTTAAATTTTAAAATTGAATTTTCTTTAAATTTCGCATAATGAACTAAACATTCTTTTTTCATATTTTTAAAGAGAACCAGTTTATCTATCATTTTCGTAAAAATAAAAACTCAGTGATTTCAAAAACAAAGATGGCGTGGGGCGTTCAATTGTCTTTGCAATAACCTGCCTTAACTTCTTAACCTTTTGACCGATTGTAACAAATTTGATATCGTTGAAAAGAGCATTATTGCAAAAACAATTGAACGCCCCACACCATCTTTGTTTTTGAAATCACTTTTTTGTTTTTACGAAAATGATAGATAAACTGGTTCTCTTTAAAAATGTGAAACAATTTTTTTTAGTTTATTATGCGAAATTTAAAGAAAATGCAATTTTAAAATTTAAGATTGCACTTACGCCCGCTGTTGGTCATTGTTAGAACTTGAAAATATTTTCCAGCGATTCTTCATGACCGATTTACCCAATAATTTTTTTTACCCCTAAGTCATACGACGAACGGTTCCCGAGATATGGCCGAGGAACAGTCTTATTGAGTCACCCGGTACATACCAATTGTCGATGGAAAATTGTAGTACACAAATATCAGCCGAACCTATAGAAAGGTACACTATAACTACACGAGATGCAAATGGCGTTACTTACGATAAGGAAGAATAAAACGCAATTAAAATCCTCACTATAGGAGTTATAGGTGAATCCGTCCTAATTACTGTGGAATCCCCAATTTAATGAATCCAATCTCCAGAGGTAAATAAATATGCATGATGGCAATTAAAATTCAATGCATTCTAACTTACGCTCTCAGCTGTTTGTGTATAAGAAAGTGTAACTCGATACGGTTCTCGACAGAAAGAGGAAAGTAAATAAACCGTCAGCAATAGTAATGCTTTGTAATCGAGAAAATAAATCGTTACAAGCTAAGAAACATGTTTGAGGTTGGTTCATAAACTCATTTCGAAAGAATTATCTTGTTGGCGCACTACTATACAGAGAGTTCTTAACTGAACTATTAAAGATAAAACAATTGAGCCAATTACGCCTTAGCTCAAGTTACTCTTTCGAAGGTACACTCCTTCACAAGTTAAAAAGAAAACAGACTGTTGCGATCCTTCTAGAACGTTATCGAGGAGCCTTTAAGTCTATTAGTCACCGGAGATAAGGCCCGCGTGGCGCAGTTCAGTTGAAGCTGGACTGCGATACAAGGAGTCCCTGGTGCGAATCCGGGTGCGGGCATGGATATTTGTAAATGCATAGTGGGTTGGGTTGGTAGAGGAGCCTTGACTAAAACCCCGCCCAATCAAAAATAAAGGCATAAATAAATAAATAAATAGATAAAAAATAAATAAAAGCAGATGCGTTACGTTACAGTACATTCATAATTTTCATATTTGGTACTGTTATAATTTCTCTTTAATTATAATTATGATCCAATAGCCAATTAGATTTAACTCCGGCGTGGGCCAAGTTTCCACAAATTCAGCAAAAAGCACGGTACTGAGCATGCTTGATAACCATGACTGCAAAATCCCCGTCATTGCGTCACGTCCACCAACTTCCTGGCGCTTTCAGCTTTTACACGCATTCACAAAGTCACGACTGTATCCAGGAATCACTACCACTACCACATATAAAATTTAAAAAAATTCCGACAATCTTACTAGTAATTTTGATTTTATTTTCGTAGGATATCTACAAATTAATGTTAGTATCTTGCAAATTGAGCCGAAGGTTAATTCGTCACACAAAATTGTTTTTATCCTATACAAGGAGAAACTTACATTTTCTCGCCTGTGTGAGGACGCGAAAGAAGACAATTGCACGCATGGAGCGAGAAAATTCAATTTTGTCTGCTAGGCGAGAAAAAAATACGCCTTATGTAAGCTAGATGGCGCGGTTGTAATAAAATGTCAAAGAAGTTATTTCTTTTTAATTAAATAAGAAACATAAAATCGTCAACACTGATTTAATAATTAAATTTACCCTATGTTCACTTTATTTTACTGAATTCAAGAATTTATTTAATTACCGCGAACCTATACCTATCAATGTTTCGTGAATTTGAATACTTTCCCAATATCACGTGACCAATTCAAACGTTTCAAACTGAAGTCATAATCTCCCATTTACTTTCAATAACGAGCATCTGTGTCAATACATTTAACACCAAGACGTACTTTGCACTGTAAGTAGAACACCGCTTATCCGCAATAAGTAGCATTTTAACATACGAGACTACTCCGAAGTTAAAATGTGTCCAGTGTGACTGTAAGGAATGAATAAATCTATTTATTAAACACATTTTTTTAAAATACAAGATCATCAAGGATTTAAAGTGTGCCCATTGCGCTTTCGTCGCCAAGCATAAATCCAGTCTTAAAAGCATCTAACATTTGACAAGACATGGATACTGCGAAGGATTTAAAATGTAACCGGTGTGATTTAGTCCCTGAAAACACACATTCAATTTTAAAACACATTTGTTAATACACAAGACCAGTAATAATTTCAAATGCGCCTGGTATTAATTACAACCCCTTAAATCCCGTTATTTTCTAAGGAAATAATCACGCGCCAGTGAAATGCCGGAAATGTGAACTCAGTTCGCACATGATCGGTATTCTCCACTTGCACCTCTGCTCTGTTGCACCGTGACTCCCTTCGGTGACTCCGCACTGTGCAATCGCAAGCGCGCTAGACTTTGAATTTGCGTTGAACTGTATTATAAGGGAAAGGGGTAAATCTACGAGTAAAAAATATACTCGTGGACCCACTTAGATTGCACCGTTTCGTAAAATTTTTTTCGCGTAGTCAGCAGGAAACGTGGAAATAAACAAAACAAACGCGTGCACGTTGACGCGTTAAAGCAAATCCAAATTCAAGCGCTTGCGGTCGGACGTTGTTGAGGGATTAATTTTAAATGTAAGTGCATAGGATAAAAAATATTGTGTGCACCACGGCACGAAAGGTGTTTTCCGGGCCTCAGGAAGTGGCCAGCCTCGGCTGCGCCTCGCCTGGCCATATCTTCCTTCGCCCCGGAAAACAACCACTTTCCCGCCTTGGTACACAAAGTACTATTAAACCATCCTTTCCAAGAGAGTGGACCTAATTCTCTCTCTACTTGAAAAATTGAAATCGTCGCACTTCTGCTTCAAGTCACTTAAAATGTAAATAGTTCAAAATATTTGCAAAATTACGAAAATTCCAAAAAATGTATTACACAACTTTTGGTTAACACCTGAAATAAATTTTGGGCACGAATGAAAAAATCTGAGATCAAAACTATGGATACGAATAAACACACAATTCATTGATTGACAATGACAAAAATTTATCCCGAAACACAATGAAACAAAATAAAACAAAATACCCGAAAGAAAGGAAAGCTTACAAAGCTTGTTTGGACATATTACTCCGCACACAGACGGTGGTCAAATAAAATAAGAAGTTTAAAATTACTTACATTTTTTTGCTTCATAACCCAACTGGTTGCACAAGGTTTGCGAAATTCACGCTAGAATTAGATGACAAACAAAACTGGGTTGAAGAATAAAATTAAAAAATTTTAGGTGGCTGCTCGGACGCTAGAAACTTTTAACTTTTAATAATCAGGGAACCTTAACTACACTGCTCACTCGACAAACTTTTTTTTACGTAGACGGAAAACACACAACTTTGCTTAACTTGCTGCTGTGACCATTTCGGAAAAAAAAATTATTTGCGCAAAATCATCCGCTTCAAACGCGCGACGGATTACAAGATGAAACTCAATAAGTCACATTGTTCGTATTTATCGTAATATTTTCTAATTCGCAAGTTATCCCCCGATTATGAAAGCCACCGAAACTGTTTGTTTACAGGTCCTTAAACTTCGCTACCGTGGTCGTACGCAATTTCTACGTAAATATCGCACGCTCTTTGCGCTAAGTTAGAGGTAGTTTAATACTTAACCCTGTCTCACTTCCAGGCGCGAAATATCCCACGGTATTTTACAGGTCGTACACTTATCTTTACTCGCCATTCAATGCCAATTTCGCACAAAACAAAATCCACCCGGCAGTAATTCACAGGTGGTTGACCCAAGTTCGCCCACGATTTTTTCCAGAACAACCAACGTATCACAACTTTGCATCTGCCGTAACGCAAACCTAACCTTTTTCCGCCAATAAATAATGTTAAGTAACTAATCTTGAGTTTTTAAACGCATTGTCTGTAGAATGTTTTTTATTTGCAGATACTAGTTACTCCTACCATCCGGCAATTCACGATGACACCTTCGTTAGGAGAAAACAAAGAAGGAATAGGACAACGTTTACACTACAACAGGTGAGTGGAACACATACAGGATGGGCCCATACCGAGTGTACTATTTGTTACAGTTGGAGGAATTGGAAAACGCATTTGCTCAAACCCATTACCCGGACGTATTTACCAGAGAAGACTTAGCGATGAAAATTAATTTAACGGAAGCGCGTGTACAGGTAAGATAGTATATCATTTTCGAAATTGGGTTCGACAAAAGCTCGAAATTCAATTCCGACAAGACTAATGATCGGGTAAAGCCTTAATATATGAAGTGAATGTAAATAAATATCTTACAGGCAGTAATCATCAGTTTCAATAAAAAGGAAAGTCCCTTTTCAGCGAAGCTAATGCCGTCGGAATCGCGGCGCGAACTCAGTTACACGTGGCTTACTTCAAATCAGACTTTATCCTCTGTTATTGCGAACATGTCACCTTCAATAAGGGCCCGAGTAACTTCGAAAATCCCATTCTTTTTAGTAAATATCTTCAGATTCAGTTGCCAGAACTCGTTATGGGGCCAATTCGATTATTTCTCAGGTGACGCCCCACCCCGCCAAATACGTTTATTTGCACAATAACGAAATTTAAGATAAGAAGAGAGAGGTAAAGTGGCGATGACAGATGTCAATAATCTCGAAACACGTTCCGAAGAGGCATTAGCGATAAAGTAGTTTCCGGCGGAGGCTTAAAACTTATTTTCATCCGCGCGCGGCCATATTCCCTCCAAGGATTTATGATCTTTATTACTAATCTTGGCGATCGTAATCAGCTTGAAAAATTACCAATTACCGCGCGCTTTTGCGGATGAGAATAAATGAAGGTTGTACGACTGCTGGTTAAGGACCACTGCAAACCCTATGAAAATATGCAGGCGGGCATATTTAGTTTCCAATTTCCTGCTGCTCGTTTTACATGTTGCAGATTAAATGTACTTAATACTTTAATTATTTTACATTGTATCCAACAGAAAACGCAACGGGCTCATTGAATTATGAAGTGGCAGTATAAAAGGCCGGAGCTTCATAATTTACCATGGAATTTTAAGTCGCAACACTTTATTATTATTATCAAATATTGTACAGCTTCAATGCCAAATATGAGCTGTTAAAAATAAACGAATTGATCGATTAACAAGCCATAATTATTGCGTATTAGTAACGAAACGCTAACAAATTAACTTAACGTTTATATCTGCTGATGAATTCGTCAATTGAGTAAAACGCATTATTTAATCAATGGGATTTAATCGGCATCGTCAATTGATTTTGATCGACAAGTTTTAATTCTGCCGATATTTAATTTTCTATTATAGTAGAAGGCCATCGTTTCAAAATTCCACAGAGATGACGAACCAAAAAGGGCTTCTATTCTGAAGATATTTTCGGTTCCTCGTTGACGTTTCACTTCATTTTCACCCTCCCTGTGTAAAACTGAGAAGGAATGTAACAAAGGAATTAATCAATGAAATACATTTAAATTATAAATTCTTAAGGAGAAGGCGTCTACAATCACAACACGTTCCAAATTGAATCGACTCGACCAACTCATTACTGACATTTAAGATTAAAAAAAAATGTTGGTATTGTCATAACCCAGGTACACCCGACAAGCGACTGCACAAGTCAAAACCAAAAATCAAAACTCCCGCCAAATCTAACGGAAATCTATAGCACGCGATCGTCACTTGTCCTATCACCACCACGAGAGTAGCTCTAGCGACTTCATTGATTGCGTGAAGGAAGAAGAAAGAAATAGCTTCCCCTTCCAGAAACTTTCTCTCTTGCTTTTTTTTCTAATTTGCATCTTACAATCACATTATAATAGTGTTCAACCCGTACTACACGTCGGAGAATTTTATTTCTCCCTTCATTGTGACTTTACACCCATATTTTAAATATTGTACCACTATCTTTCACCGAAATCAACTTAATTACTAAGACTAGGGCATGACCTGTCTCATTATAATATAGGGGTATCTTAAGGTTAAATAGATCAGACATAACCTCTCATTATATTTAAAGTATGTGGGGTTTTGAGATCCGTCCCATAACAGTATTCAATTAACATAAACATTGAGGAGTCATGAATAAACATTACATTTGGCATTTATGCAAAATAAGATATACTACGCCTCCACAAAACAATCAAAACCCCTGACCCATCGCACAAGCCGATCACAAACATGGTAACTGAATTTTGAAATAACCTTCCTGCGAATTGTTACTAGTTATTTATTATACGCTTTCCTTTTACGATCGAGTATAATACAAAACTTTATTCCATATTACAGACGCCAATCATTATATAGCTTCTGAAAATTCGGAATTTGATTTAGACCTCAAAAATAGCAAGCTTACGTCTCGTAGTTTCCATGAAAATATTATTGTTTTCGTTCTCCGCGTCCCATTTCTAATAAAAATGACAGATGTCATTAGAATGCACGGTCATGTGTTTCTCTTTCTATACGTGTAGAAAGTTCCATATCACAAAACCAAAAACTGTCCTACACTAGCTCATTCGCAAATTTTGGTTACATCTGCCATGTAAACGACACCCCGTTCGTGCTTCATATTTGTAAGTTGTGTAATTATGAACTAAAATGTTTTCCAGTTGGTATGATTGTTAAAAAAACTGACGTAGTATGCGGTTGAAGGCAGCTCATATGCCGCTCGTACGAAAAATACACGTTACGAATAGGATATTGCAAACTGACCAACTTGCTGAGCTTTGTTTCTCCGTCGCTCACCCGGATTTTATTTAGACACTCCGTTCTTCATTTTACCCACACAAAAAATTTATACCGACCCGCTTGAAACTTGGTCTTTTATTAATACAACCACACTTTTAACTTCCTGGAAGTTGAAATTTCGCATTACTGCCCCTGCGTCTCCGCTAACTTTAACTTTTTCTAAAATAATTTTGGTTATTTCGAAATCATCGGAAAACCTGAGCTCTAAGGCGACCGTTGCTCGTCTCCCACATTGCTCTTTCCTACAGTTGCCCCGTTGAACAATGGAACAAATGAAAATTGACGGCTCGTCTCAACCGGAAAGGTTTCCATGGATTCCGACTATTCTTATCTTAATCGGCTCTGGGTATCAAAACCCCGATACGGTTCCAACGCAATTGTGACGGCGACCTTCTATCTCAAAACCTACGCTTTTTAAACGCACCATTCTGTCACCATATACCTGTCATTACTATTCATATGAAGAGGTACATATGAAATTTTATACAACCTCAACCGTTACACAAAATCCACAAGATATCCTACATTCTATCAACACCCTGTATATTCAATTTTCAATGAAAGCTAACCAAGCCTGTGGAAAATTCCGCCCTCGCTAACTACGCAACGAAAACTACAATATGCCCTAACTTGTACTCACACCCTGTAATAATCTTCCCTTAACTTTGCCTTAACAATTGATAAATCTAACGCTGACGTCAAAACACGATAACAATTATATTCAGAACTCGCATTTCCTATAAACGTAATGAAACTTCTACGTAGGTACATGATAAAGCATTACGTATGTTCTATCTCGTGTAAAATCATTGAGTAACGTTACAAAACGTGGACGTCGAGTCGAACATTACAACTGGGGACTACGATTGAAACAAAATAAAAGTAAAACCCTTCAATTAATAGGAGGGTTATTAGAAAATAATGCTATTACGGCGACGATTTACTGTGTTCAAGATGTACTCAGGATCTTGGTTCAGTTAATGCATTAGTAGAAACCAATTTTTCGGTCTACTACCAACGCATGGATATGTGACAGTACTCAGGACTAATTGGCTACGAAAACGCGAACTCGGCTGAAATAATGGCCTGTGGTTTACAGAACCAAAATTTAAGGTTTACTTCTGGCCTCACTGGCAGCTGCAGTAAGCTTTTTACAACTACCTTAAACCAGCAGAAATGTCTGTGAAACACTTCCATGTACGAGTATATTCATGAAATGATAACATTAAAATATAAAAAAACAAAATAGGCAAGCAAAATTTAACATAATTTATATATTTATTTCCAATTACAAATAATTGCCATTAGCCGGACGCATAATTTCGCACGGCTTAATTTTAATTAATAATAATTAACGTTGGTCGGAAACATAATTTCGCAAAGGTTACATTTTAGGTACCAAAAAGTAATGAATATGAGCGCAACGCAATTCAATTAAGTAATGTCCTTCAATTATACCCCCAGTGGCTATATACCCTTCATGAAAAATGCATTCATCTCGAGGCAATTAGACCATAAGCAAGTTACGTGAATTATATAGGTTTCGTGCAAATTAGTATGTATCCAGTGCAATTAATCAATGCTAAATGAAAAGATGCTACCTTTCAGTACTGTAAGATTCAAACTTCATGAACAGTGCCCAACAATCCTGCACATTTTACTAGCTTTGCTCTGCAATCGAGTTTCTACCACTGTCCGCCTCCTTTACAACCAAAATATAAAAATGTCTTTTATTAAGTTACATACACACAATCACAGTAAAAAAAAACTAAATGGCATATTTCAAAATTAAAGTAATGCAACTTAATGGGCGAAGTTCAGTTAGTGGAGGCGACCGCCTCCAATTCTGTTCTTCCACTCAACCCATACAACACTATAGAACCAGATAAAGCTATTAGACACGCTTGAAACGTAAATTTTTCTTTCTTCTGGTATTGCTTTAGTCGCATAACCGAATTATTTGTGGGCATGATCTATATAAACATTGTGATGATTTAGGGGCATAGTAACATAAATTCCAAAATTTCCAAGGTACGTCCGGTATCTGATATTACGAACAATCTCGATAAGAATTTAATTTTAGTAATAAGAGCAATTCAGCAACCTCCCCTACAATTCCAAAGAAACTAAATTATTTAACAACTTTTGAGTTAACACCTGAAGTGATCCTGGGAACGAATAGAAAAATATATCTTGGAAACTTTCTCCTGGGTCGTAATTTGGACTCGATTAAACACAACGCTAATCATTTACAGATAAAACAGATTTATTCGACAAAGACATTCAATAAAGGTGTAAAAAAAATGACACTCTGGGCCAGGGACAAATACCACGCAACAGTCGATCGATTGAAACAAATTAATGTTTTAATTAGCCTAACATCCGGTCAACTGCGATTCTCTTTAAACTCGCTTTAATCTTGATTTC